TTTCTACAAAGGCTTGGTCATACCACATCTAGAGTATGCGATACAGGTTTGGTGCCCACATCACATAAACCTAATACAAATGATTGAAAAAGTTCAAAGAACTTTTTCAATCATAGTTTATCATCAACAAACACTTTGACTTTGACTACTTGGATCACTTGTTTGACCTGGACAGAATCCCACATTTCATAAATATTATTATATTTATTTCCAAACTTCAATACGCAACATTTATCTACATTTGGAATCATACGCCAGACATTTAGCCAATTTTGCATATTGATCACATTTAGTTGCATGGACTTCAAGTCATCTGGACATTTGATAATTTTAAACATCTTTGCATCATCCGCAAAAAGATATATATTCTCACATGCTGAAGGGAGATCATTAATATAAATTGTAAACAGTAGAGGTCCCAGGATACTACCTTGGGGAACTCCACTAGTACCATCAAACTTTGAAGACAATGCATCACCCACTCGCTACTAGATCTATCCGTTCTTGTTATGGTTTAGAGTATATTGATAGATTAAAAAAATTGAACTTGCATTCTTTGAAATATCGAAGAACTAGAGCGGACCTGATTTTTTTATATAAAATGTTGGTGGCCAATCCAGATACTGGTCATTCGTTCATGTTGCTCAATAATGATGGGAGAACTAGAGGACATCATATGAAGTTGTCAACAGGTTTATCTCACAAGGATGTTAGAAAATATTTTTTTTGTAACAGAGTAGTCGCGACTTCATAACTTTCTTATTATTATTATTGATTTTCATATGATTGTTTGGTTTTTTTTTATTGATTGGTAAATAGTTAATGAAATTTCTAGGTTCTAATATAATTATCTGATATAATAATTAATGATTCATGAGTAGGTGGGTATATGAGTTGGTATATGGGTAGGGGAGGTTAAGGAAATTAGATGGGTGCATGAATGTTTGTTTATTTTTTCTATTGCATGGGAAATGTGTAGTTAATTTTATGCTATTCAGGTGTAGGATGGGATTAATGGGGTTAGATGGATAAAGTATTTTATTATATCTTGGTTTATAAGTTTGCATTTATGGTGACACTCAAGACACTGTTAGTGTTAATTTATTGTTTTTGGAAATTATTTTCAATCTGCCATGGTATAATGCATTATCTTCGTGGTTATACTTGTGAA